GGCGGGGCTATTGGTTGCTTATAAAAGACTGTAAGAAAAAGTTAAACTTAACCCCGCCCACCCACCCGTTCTTTTTTTCTTATGAAATAAGAAATGCATTTTTATTTTATTCTTGTTCTTTCTTCTGTTTTTAGCAGTCCAGGTTTTGGCACTTTACACAAGAACATATAATTAACTCCGCCCACTTACCCCACCTTCACTTTAGTGATTCATTGTATTTGAATGAAAGGTAGATTTTATACTGATGAACAGAAATAAAATCGTTAAAATAAGAATAGGGCGGGTGGGCGGGGCTAGTATCTACTAAAATAAGACTGATTTTGGCAAATGACACTGTCTAAAATAATAGAGGACGGGTGGGCGGGGCTATCAGTTGCCAAGATAAGACTGAACAATATTTGGAGTAGTCATTGGAATAAAGAACGGGTGGGTGGGCGGGGCTAAGTTTAACTTTCTCTTACAGTCTTTTATAAGTAAGCAGTAGCCCCGCCCACCCACCCGTTCTTTTTTCTTCTGAAATCAGAAAGGCATTTTTATAGCAAATAGTATAACAAAAAAAAAATCGATTATCGTTCTTTCTTCTCTTTTTAACAGTCCAGGTTTTATTAGTTTGTTGCCACTTTACAAAAAAACATATATTTATCTCCGCCCACTTACCCCACCTTCACTTTAGTCATTCATTGTATTTGAATGAAAGGTAGATTTTATACTGGTGAACAGAAATTAAATCCTTAAAATGAGAATAGGGCGGGTAGGCGGGGCTAGTATCTACTAAGATAAGACTGATTTTGGCAAATGACAGCCTCTAAAATAATAGAGGATTGGTAGGCGGGCCTTCACTTTCCAAGATAAGACTGAACAAAATTTAGAGTAGTCATTGGAATAAAGAACGGGTGGGTGGGCGGGAATAAGTTTAACTTTTTCTTAGTCTTTTATAAGTAAGCAGTAGCCCCGCCCACCCACCCGTTCGTTTTTTCTTCTGAAATCACAAAGGCATTTTTATTGCAAATAGTATAACAAAAAAAACAGGGTTATTGTTCTTTCTTCTCTTATTAACAGTCCAGGTTTTATTAGTTTCTTGCCACTTTACAAAAGAACATATATTTATCTCCACCCACTTACCCCTCCTTCATTTTAGTGATTCATTTTATCTGAATGAAAGGTAGATTTTATACTGATGAACAGAAATACAATCGTTAAAATGGGAATAGGGCGGGTGGGCGAGGCTAGTACCTACTAAGATAAGACTGATTTTGGCAAATTATACCCTCTAAAATAACAGAGGATGGGTGGGCGGGCCCATCACTTACCAAGATAAGACTGAACAATATTTGGAGTAGTCATTGAAATAAAGAGGGGGTGGGTGGGCGGGGCTACTGCTTGCTTATAAAAGACTGTAAAAAATAGTTAAACTTAGCCCCGCCCACCCACCCGTTCTTCTTTTCTTTTGAAATCAGAAAGGCATTTTTATAGCAAATAGTATAACAAAAAAAATTCGATTATCGTTCTTTCTTCTCTTATTAACAGTCCAGGTTTTATTAGTTTCTTGTCACTTTACAAAAGAACACATAATTTACTCCGCCCACTTACCCCACCTACATTTTAGTAATTCATTGTATCTGAATGAAAGGTAGATTTTATACTGATGAACAAAAATAAAATCGTTAAAATGAGAAAAAGGCGGGAGGGTGGTGCTAGTATTTGCTAAGATAAGACTGATTTTGGTAAATGACACCCTCTTAAAAGATAGCGGGCGGGTGGGCGGGGCTATCACTTGCCAAGATAAGACTGAACAATATTTAGGGTAGTCATTGAAATAAGGACGGGGTGGGTGGGTGGGGCTACCGCTTGCTTATAAAAAACAGTAAGGAACAATTAAACTTAGCCCCGCCCACCCACCCGTTCTTCTTTTCTTCTGAAATCAGAAAGGCGTTTTTATAGCAAATAGTATAACAAAAAAATACGATTATCGTTCTTCTTCTCTTTTTAACAATCCAAGTTTTATTAGTTTCTTGCCACTTTACAAAAGAACACATAATTAACTCCGCCCACTTACCCCACCTTCATTTTAGTCATTCATTGTGTCTGAATGAAAGGTAGATTTTATACTGATGAACAGAAATAAAATCGTTAAAATGAGAACAGGGCGGGAGGGTGGCGCTAGTATTTGCTAAGATAAGACTGATTTTGGTAAAAGACACCCTCTTAAAATATAGAGGGTGGGCGGGCGGGGCTATCATTTGCCACGATAAGACTGAACAATATTTGGAGTAGTCATTGAAATAAAGAGGAGGTGGGTGGGCGGGTCGCTACTGCTCACTTATAAAAGACTGTAAGAAAAAGTTGAACTTAGCCCCACCCACCCGTTCTTTTTTCTTCTAAAATAAGAAATGCATTGTTATTTTATTATTGTTCTTTCTTCTGCTTTTAACAGTCCAGGTTTTATTAATTTCTTGCCACTTTACAGAAGAACATATAATTAACTCCGCCCACTTACCCCACCTTCATTTTAGTGATTTATTGTATCTGAATGAAAGGTAGATTTTATACTGATGAACAGAAATAAAATCGTTAAAATGTGAATAGGGCGGGAGGGTGGGGCTAGTACGTACTAAGATAAGGCTGATTTTGGCAAATGACACCCTCCAAAATAATAGAGAATGGGTGGGCCTATCACTTGCCAAGATAAAACTGAACAATATTTGGAGTAGTCATTGAAATAAAGAGGGAATGGATGGGCGGGGCTACTGTTTGTTTATAAACGACAGTAGGAAAAAGTTAAACTTAGCCCCGCCCACCCACCCGTTCTTTCTTTCTTCTGAAATAAGAAATGTATTTTTATTTTATTCTTGTTCTTTCTTCTGTTTTTAACAGTCCAGGTTTTATTACTTTCTTGCCACTTTACAAAAGAATATATAATTAACTCCGCCCACTTACCCTCATCTTCATTTTAGTGATTTTTAGTATCTGAATGAAAGGTAGATTTTATACTGCTGAACAGAAATAAAATCGTTAAAATGAGAATAGGGCGTGAAGGTGGGGGTAGTATTTACTAAGATAAGACTGATTTTGGCAAATGACATACCTTCTAAAAAAATAGAGGGCGGGTGGGCGGGGCTATCACTTGCCAAGATAAGACTGAACAATATTTAGAGTAGTCATTGGAAAGAAGTAGGGGTGGGTGGGCGGGGCTACTGCTTGCTTATAAATGATTATGTAAGAAAAATTTAAGCTTAATTAAGTAATTTCAGACGTTTTCGACTGATTTTTCCTATTTATGACGACGAATTAGATTTTATATGAGTCACCCGGTGGAAAGCATGTTATTGTTAGAAACTGGAATATTTGGAGTTACATAATTGTTAATATTTCTAGTCCATGGTAGATTAAGAATGTACGTATTTTACTCTTACTTCAAATTTATTGTAATATTTCATGTAACTATATTTTGAGTTGTAAGTAATAAAACTGTACAGCCATTGTTTAACACATATGAGCAGCTAATATTACTATTCGTCCCAGAAAGAAAGTGAAAAATAAAAGCCATACGTCCAGTAAGTTCAAGTTTCCATGTCAGGATTGTCTGAAATATTTATTTTTTAGCGATATATTTTTTACGATTTAATAAAAATTTACTGATATACCCTTTTGCCAAAATCAATCTTATCTTACCAAGTACTAGCCCCACCCACCCGCCCCTATTTTCTCAGAGGATATGTCATCTGCCAAAATAAGTTTTATTTTACCAAGTACTAGGCCCGCCCACCCGCCCCCATTTTCTCAGAGGATATGTCATCTGCCAAAATTAGTTTTATCTTACGAAGTATTAAGCCCGCCCACCCGCCCCTATTTTCTCAGAAGATGTCATTTTCCAAAATAAGATTTAACTTAGCAAGTACTACCCTCTGAGAAAATAACGGAAGGGTGGGTGCTGCCAGTACTTGCTACGATAAGTCTTATTTCGGCAAATGACAAATCCTCCAAGAAAATAGAGGGCGGGTGGGCGGGGTTAGTGCCTGCTAAGATAAAACTGATTTGGCAAATGATATACCCTCTAAGAAAAGAGAGGGTGGGTGGGCGGCACTAGTAGCTGCTAAGATAAGACTAATTTTGGCCAACGAGATACTCTCTAAGAAATTTAATTAAATTTATTATTGGAAAAGACACAAGAGGCTCCAAAACACTTCAAACGTCTTTCCAAACAGGAATACATAGAATACATAGAACCTCAAGATTGTTTTCAATTTTTCAAAAAAAAACGGAATCTCAAAAACTCAAAAAGAGTTCAGGTCCAAATTTTCCAAAAATAGGACACCAAAGTTTCCCAAAATTGTTTTAAGTAATTTTTCAATTTTCAATTTACAAAAAAAATCTTCATAGGCTCCTAAAATAATACACAAAAACAGCGCGTCACTCATGACTTTTTCAAATTCGTAAAAAATAAAACACTGAAAGCCCAAAAGATTTTTTCAAGTTCATCCAGCAACAAAACACCAAATTCCTTTAAATTTATCCGAAAATAGATCACCAGGTGCCCAATTTTCGAATTCGCACGAATTTATTCGTATTTGAAAAAAATCAAATGAAATTACTTTACATTTCGATTCTTCGATATTCGACTTTTTTCTTAATTTTTCGATTTTCGAATGTTCCAATTTTTAGTTTCTTAATTTTTCAATTTTCAACTTTTCGATGTTTTGGTTTCTCGACTTTTCGATTTTCGATTCTCAAATTTGGAATTTTTCTAACACAACATGAAAATGTAGTGAACCAAAATTTCCCGACCACTTTTCCGCCACACCCCATTTTAAAAAATTGTTTTCGTGCCCTCAACCCTTCACCCTGTTTTTCCGACTTGTTATTCTTTCCCTCTGCCCAACTACCCGACTTTTCCACTTGTTTTCGTCAAACTTCTCGCATAAACAACTTAATCATCTGCTCAACCTCCGAAATCCCCAATGCAGATTCCTTTGACCGAAAAAGCGGCTTTCTTGTTGCAGGAGTGCTCGGTCTTCCTCTTCGAGAAGCGCTGCGCCGAGAAGCTGCACAAGCCCAAGCGCAAGGAGACCGTCACCGAGATCCTGCGGAGCTCCGTGAGGCAGCTGGAGCGCTTTCGGCACCCGAAAATCCTGCACGTGCTCCATCCGATTGAAGAGTGTGCCGAAACGCTGGCTTTCGCATCGGAGCCGGTTTTCGCAAGTTTGGCTAATATTCTGGCGCATCAGGAAGGAAGCGGCAACCATGGGGGAATTACGGCCACGGGGGCCTCCCAGCAGCCAGCCGTGAGGTCGGCGTATGCTAGGGAATACAACTTTTTGGATATAGAGTATAAATACGGGATATTGCAGGTGAGTGAAGGGGGGAGGTCGATCATGTGGACAAGTTTACTAAAGAAAATTCGCAAGTCTGCGTCAATCCGTGGGACAATGACATTCCGGGGCGTACGAAATGGCAGACTTCTTGTCTGGGTGCAGACATTTTGTCTCGTATTTGGGGTCTAGTATAACTTATTCATACAAATGTACCAACCGTCTGAGGTGGGTTTCATATGAATGTTTTGGAAGATATTTGAATAGCGTTGTGTTTTACAGGTGAATTGAGAATAATTGGGGTAAAAATGAAACATAAATACATTTTGGTGTTCTATTATTTTCTTTCATGACGAAATAAAGACAGTGCGATAACTATAAATAGTCAAGTCAAATGTGAAAATGTTGCCGACTTCTTTACACACAAATTAAATTTATTGTCCCGGCGCTTTCACAATTTCTACATAAAATTGGTGGAAAATTTACTCAGAATTACGAATCTATACTTATTTATCTCATGTTTCCTGAGTAACGGAGGAAAATGCTATTTTTTGAAACCATTTAAGGTCGGTCCAATTGGACCGAAAAAATGTTTCGTTACTGTGTCGAGAAGGTCATGATATTGATATAAAAATAAAATTTCTATTGAAAGTTTTTCCAAGATTCTTGAAATAAATATGTTTTATAAAAATTATCCCGGCGCCTCCACCTTTTCTACATAAAATTTAAACCTCATTAAATGGACCTTAATTAGAGTAAAATGTAATTTTTACAGGGAAAAAAACACTTTCTCGGAAAGATTAATAAAAATTCCTGAAATAAATATTTTTAAATCAATGTATTCTCCTAGCGCCTCCACCAACCTAACAGCTACAATTAAATCACTTCTAAAAGGCATCAGCTGATGCAAAATTTATCTAAAAACATCTTTCTTTGATTATTTTCGTTGTATCCACAAGCAACCCAAAAAAATATTTTTATTAAAAACAATTAAATTGCTTAAATTAGACCTGCAAGAGGGAATTTATCTTTTTCGGTTGCGTAGATGTTCTGTTATTTTGTTAAGACTGGTGTAATATTTAATCAAAAATTTAATTTCTTCCTGAAAAATCTTCTCTAACGGAAGTTTCTTAAAAATTATTGATACAAATATTTTTGAATAAATTATCCCGGCGCCTCCACCATTTATAGCACAAAAAATTGAGGCTTATTAAATCAACCATGAAGAACATTAAACCGGAGGAAATCTACTCAAAATCACGAATTTGCACTTCTTTTCAGCATGTATTTAATGCAAGGAAGGAAAACGCCTATTGAAAAAATTTAAATCGCCCAAATTAAAAATGTTCAAATTACAGAGAAAAAATGTGATTTATCTTGTTGCAATTCTGCGACAGTTTTGTTCTATTTTGTTCGGAAAATCTTCATATTTAAAGAAAAATATGATTTTTAGAAAAATAAAACTTCTAGGAAAAATACCTGAACTTTCCTAAATAAATATTTTTATATTAATTTATTTTCCTGGCGTCTCTACCGTTTTTATACCAAAAATTAAAGTGAAGACGAATTCATCTTCTTTCAGTTGCGTGTATTTTTAAATAAATTAAGCCGGCGCCTCCACCTTTTCAACACGAAAAATTAAATTTTGCGATTTTTGTTTTTTGATGACCTCTACAAAAATCTCTCATTAATAACAGATTCGTAGCTTTTTTGATTGGGGTTTTTCAATTCTTCAATTTTTCTTTATTTTGCTTCCTCAGTTTCCTGATTTTGCAATTTTTCGAGTCTTCAAGGTGATATTTTTGAGTTTTATAATTTTCCACTTTTCGAATTTTTTCAATTTTCCATTTTTTAATTTTTCAAGCTTTCAATTTGTAACTTTTGGTTTCAGTTTTTCATTTATTTTTTATTTTGAAAATTTTCAATGTTTTGATTTTATAAATTCTTGTTTGCTCAATTTCAATTATCTCAATTGTTTCGTTTCTTGATTTTTTTGATTTGCACCTTTTTAATTTTCCATTTTTTTTTCAATGTTACTGTATTTGAGAAATTGAAGAACCGAAAAATTTAAAAATTACAACACTGAAATTTCGGAGTATTGAAGATCGAGAAATTGGCAAATTGAAAAAATGAGAAATTGGACAATAAAAAACTGAAAAACCCCAACACTTATCGAAAAAATATCGAAAATTCGAAAAAGTGGAAAACCGAGAAACCGAAAAAAGTCGAAAAATCGAAGAATCGAGTTACCGAAAAATTGAAAAAACTGAAATTTAAATAAAATCCAAACAAAACTAGAAGGAAAAATGGAAAAATTGAAGAATCGAAATATTGAAAAGTTAATAAATTAATAAACAAATAAATCGGAAAATCCTAAAACTCAAACATTCAGAAGCAGAAAAATCGAAAACTTGAAGAATTGACAAACCCAAAAATCGATAATTTTTTTTAATTTTAGAAAATGCACCTCGTAGAGTTTTCACTTTTAAATTTTTCAGTTTTTCGATTTTCCAAATTTTTTTGGATGCTTCAATTTTTGATTTTGCGAGTTTTAAATTTACAACTTCAAGAATATCCTTTTTTTTAATTTTTCAATTTTAATTTTTTTAATTTTTTATTTCTTCGGTTTTTGACTTGCAATTTTTCATGTCGATGTTTTACTTTCTTTGTTTTTACAGTTTTTCAATTTTCCAATTCTATATTTTTGTGTTTTTTCAATTTCAATCGCTCAAAACTGAAATTTCGGAGTACTGAAGATCGAGAAATGGACAAATTGAAAAAATGAGAAATTGAACAATAAAAAACTGAAAAACTACAAAATTTATCGAAAAAATATCGAAATTCGAAAAAGTGAAAAACCGAGAAATCGAAAAAAGTCGAAAAATCGAAGAATCGAATTACCGAAAAATTGAAAAAACTGAAATTTAAAAAAATCCAAACAAAACTAGAAGGAAAAATGGAAAAATTGAAGAATCGAAATATTGAAAATTACCTAAACGGAGATATCGAAAAGTTAATAAATTAATAAACAAATAAATCGGAAAATCCTAAAACTCAAACACTGAGAACATGAAAAATCGAAAAGTTGAAGAATTGACAAACCCAAAAATTGATATATTTTTTTTAATTTTAGGAAATGCACCTCGTAGAGTTTTCACTTTTAAATTTTTCAGTTTTTCGATTTTCCAAATTTTTTTGGATGCTTCAATTGTTGATTTTGCCAGTTTTCAATTTACAACTTCAAGAATATCCTTCTTTTTTTAATTTTTCAATTTTAATTTGTTTAATTTTTTATTTCTTCGGTTTTTGACTTGCAATTTTTCATGTTGATGTTTTACTCTCTTAGTTTTTACAGTTTTTCAATTTTCCAATCTTATATTTTTGTGTTTTTTCAATTTCAATCGCTCAAAACTGAAATTTCGGAGTAATGAAGATCGTGAAATGGACAAATTGAAAAAATGAGAAATTGAACAATAAAAAACTGAAAAACCCCAAAACTTATCGAAAAAATATCGAAAATTCGAGAAAGTAGAAAACCGAGAAATAGAAAAAAGTCGAAAAATCGAAAAATCGAATTACCGAAAAATTGAAAAAACTGAAATTTAAAAAAATCCAAACAAAACTAGAAGGAAAAATGGAAAAATTGAAAAATCGAAATATTGAAAATTACCTAAACGGAGATATTGAAAAGTTAATAAATTAATAAACAAATAAATCGCAAAATCCTAAAACTCAAACACTGAGAACCTGAAAAATCGAAAAGTTGAAAAACTGACAAATCCAAAAATCGATAATTTGTTCATAATTTTACAAAATGCATCTCGTAGAGTTTTCAATTTACAACTTCAAGAATTTCCTGTTTTTAATTTTTCAATATTAAATTTTTTAATTTTTTACTCTATTTCTTGAGTTTTTTGGCTTGCAATTTTTCATTTTTTTTTACTTTCATAGTTTTTCAATTTTCCAATTTTATATTTCTGTGTTTTTTCAACTTCAATCGCTCAGGTCAATTTTTTGGTTTCTTCGATTTTACGATATGCTTATCTCCGAGTTTTGATTTTTAAATTTTTCAGTTGTCCGATTTTACAATTTTTGGGTATTTCAGTTTTTAAATTTTCCAGTTATCCGATTTGTAATTTTTCGGTTTCCAATTTTTTGATTTTTCGGTTTTAAATTTTTTAAATTTTTGTTTTTGTCAATTTTAAATTTTTCAGCTTCTCAATTTTTCAATTTTTCGTTTGTTCAGTTTTTTGGTTTGCAATTTTTGGTTTCGCTTTTTTGTTTTATTTGTTTTCCTAATTTTTCGATTTTTAAATGTTTCGAAATTATAATTTTTTGTTTCTTGAATTTTAATTTTAAAAATTTTTCTTTTCTACAATTTTTCGGTTTGCAATTTTTCCATTTTAAAATTTCTCGAGTTATTTTTACAATTTTTCGTTTATTCAATGTTCTTATTTTATATATTTTTTTTAATTTTCGTTAATTTTTCAGTTTGCACTTTTACACTTTTTTTTCTCTTCAAATTTACGTTTAGAATCTTTTCAAAATTTCATTTTAAAATTTTTCAGTTTTCCGATTTTGCAACTTTTGAAAGGTGCACGTTTTAGATTTTGCAATTTTCGATTTAAATATTTAAAGAAAAATATAATTTTTACAAGAATAAAACATCCCTAAACCTCTACAAATTTTACATCAAAAATTAAAGTTAATTAAGTCAGTAAATTATTATTTTTATTAAAAACAATTAAATTGCTCAAATTAGACCCAGTTGCGTGATTTCTTATCATCTCTTACACAAGTCTCTTAAAATTTGTTGGAATAAATATTTTTAATAAATTATCCCGGCGCCTCCACCATTTCTACACGAAAAATTAAATCTTAACAAATCACCTTTTAAGGATATCAAACCGAAGAAGAATTAGGTCAGGATTATGAATGTACACTTCTTTTCGTCATGACTCTTAAAATAGCGGAAAAATTATTATTTTTTTTTTAAATTGTCTTTAGGTAGTACTCGTAAAATTCAAATTGCTTAATTT